GTATTAGAGCAACTAATTACAAGAAATAATAATATTCTGCTAATATAGCAACAAGTTAAAAATATTAGAGAATATAAGGGAAGAGGACAAAAACCAAACTGGTACAAAGATTTGAAAACAAAAGTCCTTGAAGATAGTAGCTCAAAAGTTCTGAAGGCAGAATTCTAGATAGATTTGCCAAACAGGTTAGCTATAAGGTGCAAAGAACTAAGAGTAGCTGCAGATAAAAAGAAAAAAGAATGGGTAATATTTGAAAAGGAAAGAAAACTAGAATATAGAAGAGTTATAAAAAAAGAATCTAAATACTTTATAGTAGAACACTGGAAAATAGAAGAAAATGATAACTCGAGAACTTCTATATCAATGATCATGTGCAGAAGCTACAAGTTAGGAAAACGAAATGATATGAGCTGTTTAATCAGACTTAAGTATGCAAATTGGTATCAAATACTTAACAAGATTCACAGAGTCAATGAGCTTGCTTCTACTATAATACCAACTTCGACTTATAAAAATAATAGAGAAGTAGTTAATGCTGAAGTAATAGATAACAGTAAAGACATAGAAGTTAGTATTATGGAAATAGAAAAAGCAATTATATATAGAGTAATTAAAGATAATAATTTACAAAACAAGCTTAGTAGAATAGCAAGATTGCTTAAAGAAAAGGAGAAGCTAGATATATATACAGATGGCTCACTAGTAGTAGAAAACTTAGAAGGGAGAAAAATTAAAAAGATGAGCATCAGTTAGGTAGTAGCAGATGATAGTAGAATGGAATCTAGTATTAGCTTTAGTAGTAGTATAGTAGAATAGCCTTTGTTTACACGTGCAGAACTAAATAAGATCTGAATAGCACTTTTAGTAGTACCCTTTGGAGCAACTATTAGGATATTCTCAGATAGCAAGATAGCAATCAAAGGAATCCAGAATTTTAAAAGCCTTTCAAAGCTTAGAAGCAATTTTAAAGCAAAAAATCATAGCATAATCAATCAAATTGCAGACTGCTGTAAAATAAAGGAAATCAAGCTAGATCTGACTAAAGTAAAAGGTTACAGCTCAAATATTTGGAATGATAGAACAGATCAGTTAGCTAAAGAAGGCCTCTCTTCAGATTTAATTCTTGAAACCCAAGAAGTAACAACAAGTAAAATTAGATTTTTCTCATTATGAAAAAACAAAATTATAGATAATGCACTTAGATCTTTTGTTAATATTACTACAGCAATAGTTTATGAATGCGCATGAGCAGACTTAAATAGTATCAAATTAGTATTAAACCAGAGGCTATCAGATCAATGCAATGATAAGCTAAACTAGAAAAATATGTGGAGTGTTTTGAAAAACTTACAAGAGAAAAAATGTGTGAGCATAAAGAAAAGCAAAATGCTAATATTTAGGCTAAAATACCTAAATAAGCTTTTGCTAACAAAAAATGTGTGCTATCAAAAAGACCTCATGCTATACAAAACCAAGACCTGTATTGCATGTTATGCAAAAGCAGAATCCTTTGAGCACCTAGCAGATTGTGTAATCTACCAACTAATATAGAGGAAAATAGAAGCAGTTATTATTGAAGAGTTGAACTCTTTACTTAGCTTCAAATTAGAAGTCGAAATCGAAACTCAAAAATTAAGCAAAATCTTCCTAGATTTAAGTACAGAAATCAAGCTAGAAAAAAGAAAACTTTATATATGGGAACTAACATGTTCAAGTCTGTTAGCAGAAGCTAAAGCTCTTTTTGGATCAGTATCTAAAGTAAACAAAGCTATCTGCTAGTTTACTGAAATCTTCTGGTTAAACTTTTTTGAAAGACTATAGAAATTTCGTTGCGAAGTTTTTCTAGAATGGGAAAAAGGAAACAATATAGATTCTAAAGACTAATTTGAGTAGGAGAAAGATCAAGCAGAAAAGGAAAACTAAAATTCTGTTGAAAAGGAGGCTATCGAATTACCTAATGCTAAAGAGAAAAGGATTCAGAAAAAAGCCGAAAACAGAATTGATAAGTGGATTACAAAGAGTATAAAAGAAAGTTGATTAAGTTTCAAAAATAATTAAATAGGCATTCTTGATATAGGCATATAGTAGCCTTCTAGAGATTCTTAGAATATGACCCTGCTTAGGCATTCTATTCTTTGAGAAAGAAAATTTACTATTGCAGCAGATTGCATCTAGGCATTTTAGACAACTGAGTGAGTCCTAAATTATATAAAGAGGATATTTTTATAGTTAAATTAGTTTAGCTTATATTTTTGTTATAACATTTTTTTATGTTTTCTTTTAATAAATGATGAGCAAGATCATCTAAGTAAAAAAAAAAAAAAAAAAAAAAAAAAAAAACTTAACAAAAATATTTATAACATGCTTAAACCAAATTATAAATTAACACTACTTTCTAAGTGATCTAAACTTTGCAGTAACTAAAAACTGTTCAACACATATACTAATACAAATATTATTAAATACTATTGAATACTATAAAAATAACAACAAAAAAGAATAAATATTATTCCAGAATATGTCTAAAGCCTTTGACAAAATCAATATAAATCATCTTATCAATACTTGCAAAAGAATTAGTATCCCTCAGAAAGTACTAAACTTTATAAAATTCTTACACCAAGATAGAAAAGCTAAAACAATTACTGCTTATAAATTCTCAAATCCTATCTTTCTCTACTTAGATATTGAACAAAGAGAAACCTTCTCCCTACTCCTCTGAAAAATATACTATGACCCTATTCTTAGTTATATCAATAACAAACATAAACTAAAATTTCTAAAAATAAAATCTAACTCTTCACTTGATCTTCTCAAATAAATCATAATCTATCACAATACCACCTTTGGTATTTATAGATGATATTGTTTGGTATTGTGAATCAAGAGAAAGTCTTTAAGAAATTCTATAAAATATCTCTGAACTTTACTAACTTAATAATATTCAAGTAAACCTACTTAAATCAGATCTCCTTCATATATCCAAAACCAAGATTTCTTAAACTAATACTACTTCTAACTATTCCTTACTCTTCAAAAACTAACAAATTCTACTTCGCAAACTAGATAAAACTATAAGATACTTGGATATCTTCTTGAATAGAAATGGTTCTTCCAAACCTATAATTAATATCATTACTAACAAAATAAATCAATTTACTTATCTTATTAAATTCAAAAAACTCCTTCCTATATATATATCAATATTATTTAATATCATCCTCTCATCAGCAATTGAATACCTTCTTCAAATCTGTTCTTTACCTTAGAAAAAAATCAAACAACTATCAAGTACTCTAACA